ATGCAGTCCTTCAGCTCTGATGTGTCCACTGGTAGTAGTTCCTGACGCTATTTTATTTTTGGTTTTGGCTGGCAATACTTTGTGTGCACAATGTTCTGTAGTTACCAGTATGAAGATCTGAAAATATCCGAAAATAACAGAAGTAATAACTAAGATCCAAGAAAGAAAATTATTTTTTTATCTTTTGTGAAGCTCTCTTCAGTAAACTCATAAAACTCTTCAGTTTCTTTTTATAGTTGCTGATGGCTTATGCTGTTCTCCCATAGGTAAAATGTCTTATAAAGCCTGTAAATCCTGGAATAAGGACTTGCTGTGCCTTTCTCCTAGGACAATTCCATTTCTGAGGTAAAAAATTCTTCTGGTTTTTTTTTTGACTTCTCTGAAAGGTCTATTGTTTTTTGCTTTCTCTCTTGAACTTCCCCTCTATTGCCTAATAGAGGTGTTCTGGAACTCCTTCAGTCTGCTGTACTTAGGGAGCTTTTTTTTCCTCCAAACAACTTGAAACTTCTTCTTAAATTCAGTTCCTTCATAGACAACAGAGATTAGATAGAGATTAAAGGTCTGTGGTAGGAGGAAGTGTTGAACCTGAGAAGAGGCTGAGACCAGGAATGCTTGTGCAAAGGTCCTGAATAGTTAATCTGACAGAAAAAAAAAAAGTTGTTATGAAAAAAAAAGCAAACAAAAAACCCTGAAAACTTTATTTTGTAAAAATCTTCGTGATTCTTGGCAGGAAATAGTTCCTGATTTGTTTAAAGGACTAGCCTTTGCGTTGCATTTGTTTTAATAATTGTTTAGGGGTGCAGAGTCACTGTTTCTACACTTGCCTGGAAGTCTGAAGTGTTTGGAAGGAGGGATGGTTTGTGACATGATTTGTTGCCACTGTTTGGCTTCCAGTCTGAAATTTGGATTGGTAGTCTTGTGTGTGCTGTAACTTGCAGGTCCTGTGGTGACAAAATTACAAAGTCCAGTTGGGGAACACTAATGGTGTACCCAAGGCATCAGCACTGGGGCCAACACTTTAACATTTCCATTAATGGCATGAGTGATGGGACAGAGGGCACCCTCAGCAAGTTGGCAGGTGGTACAAAACTGGGAGGAGTGGCTGATGCACCTGGTGAGTGTGCTACCATCCAGAGGAACCTAGATAGGCTGGAGAACTGGACAGAGTTCATGAAGTTCAACAAGCTGAAATGCAAAGCCCTGCATGCAGGGAGGAACAGATCCACGCAACAGTACGTGCTGGGAGCTCACCAGCTGCAAAGCAGCTCTGCAAAGAAGGAGATCCCAATGGACAAGAAGCTGGCCATGAACCAGTGATACATCCTCATGGCAAAGCCCAACAGCATCCTGGGCTGCGTTAAGAATAGTGTTGCCAGCTGGTTGAAGAAGGTCATACTTCCTTTCTACTCAGGCCACCTTTGGAATGCTGTGCCCAGTGCTGAGGTCCCCTGCACAAGGAAGCGAGTTGGTTAAGGGAGGAAGCATCTTTCGTACAGGCTGAGGTTGAGAGCTGGGACTTTTCAACCTGGAGAAGAGAAGGCTCAGAGGGATCTTATCAGTGTGTATAAAGATCTGAAGGGAGAGAATCACAGAATGTTAGGGGGTGGAAGGGACCTCAAAAGATCATCTAGTCCAACCCCCCTGCCAAAGCAGGATCCAACAGGAACACATCCAGGCAGGTTTTGAATGTCTCTAGAGAAGGAGACTCCACAACCTCTCTGGGCAGCCTGAAGAGGAGAGAGATCAGACTCTTCTTAGTGGTGCCCGCTGACAGGACAAGAGGCAATGGGCACAAACTGAAAACCAGAAAATTCCACCTGAACTTCAGGAAACATTTTTTTTTACTCTAAGCGTGGTCAGATACTGGCACAGGTTACCTAGAGAGGTTGTGGAATCTCTGTCCTTGGAGATGTTTGAAAACCCAACTGGACATGATCCTGGGCAATGTGTTGTGACTGACCCTGCCTGAGCAGGGGTTTGCACCAGATGGTCTCCAGAGGTCTGTGCCAGAAGGATTTTGTGAGGAAAGCAGCAGCTACACTTAGTGCCAGTGCACTACCTTTTGGAAAAGCAGAGGGTTGGGTGGTATGAATAACACAGCTGCATGATTCTTTAGTCTTCTGTATTGACTCAGTGCTTGGACTGCTATGGATATAACATGTGCCTCCAAGTCCAGTTGTGACATGCAGATCAAACAACTTGTTCTGACTTTCACTTTTATTTCTTTCCAACTAGCCAGATGAAGACAGCAGACCTTCATGTAAAGGTTGTAAACATCTCATGTCTGTCTCCATCACTATATACATGCTTTACAAAGTAGTTGCTGGTGGAGCTTGAATCAGGAGGTGCATATGTGAATGTTCTCTTTACTATTTCTTTTGCTGTTGATATTTTTAGCACAAACAAGGATGACAAACACCACATTAAACCTCTTCCGGGCAGCACCTTAATGCTGAAGCGTTTAAAGGAGTTTAAAGGAGCTTTAAAGCTGTTGGTTTTTTTTTTTTTTCACTTTAAAGGAATTTAAGTATGCCAGAATTCACAACTTCAGAAACCAGCAAAATGGGGAGGACTGCTGAAGAGGTATGCTGGGTGAGAAAGGGATCTTTTGAAATGAAACAAACCTGTATTTAAATGCTAAAATGGCAGTTTGTAACAGCTCAGTGGTGTAGTTAATGAGGGGATGCTTCTGGAAAGTCAGTGTATAGCATTTTATTTGCCTTTACATTTATCATATGGAATATGATTCCATACATGGTTCCATCATATGGAGCAGAGCAGTGCTTTGTTGCCAAAAGATGGAATTTTAAACCATTTTCCTGGAAGAAATTCTTTACTGTGAGGATCGTGAGCCACTGGAACAGGTTGCTCAGAGAAGCTATGGAAGCCCCTTCCCTGGAAGTGTTCAAGGCCAGGTTGGACAGGGCTTTGAGCAACCTGATCTAGTGGAACATGTCCCTGCCAATGACTGGGGGGTTCCAAGTAGGTGATCTTTAAGGTCTTTTCCAAATCAAACCATTCTACGAAATGGTGTGCTGGGGGAACACCTCCAGCCAGTTTTACTTGTAAGTGCAGCTTCACTGTTGTCCTTAACCTAGCTCAACTGTGGTCTTTACATAGCAACATTAGAAGTATAATGTAGGCCAAAAACCACTCTGTTGCTGCTAACCCTTCCTTACAGAACTGTCCCAGAGGACTTTCTTTGTCCTTCCAGTATCTGAAGCAACTTTTGAAAGTTCCCAATAAACCTAGCTTACATGGGGGAAGAACTTACACCAAAGTACTGGAGAAGCGGACCGTGGCAAGCTGTGGAGTGCACTTAAGATACACTGGGCACTCACAGCACCCAATCATTGTGTATATTGACAGGCATGCATGTTAGCTGGAATGATTATGCAAGAGGAACAGGGCACAGCTGAAGAGAAGAGGCCCCCACTTGAGGAAAGGATTGTGGGACTGTTGAGCTTTACAGTGGGACATAAGTTTCTAGAGCAGGGCTTCACAAAGTGAAGGCGTGGGAATTTCTGCTAAAGTAAACCCGAATAATGTGCCAGTATTTTGGGAACAGCCTGTGCAGTCCTCACTATATCCAGGTGACAAATATTTGCTTCACATGCAGTGGTTCTAATCTGTTGGGTTTTCCTCCATTCTGCTAGGATGTTCAACGAGGAGAAAAGGAGAAATACAAACAACATTTGCAACTACTAAAGGAAAAATATCCTGGAAGCTGCCCTAATCCACATCTGAGAAGCTTCCGCAAGTAATTTTAAGAAAAATAACTGTTAACTGTTTGGTGTTAAAAGTAAAAAAAAAATGTCTAGCTGTTGTACATGGAAGAATCTTTCCTGCTCTCAGATTCTGGACAGTGTGTCAGGGCAGGTGTTGGGGCAAACTAAGTTTTAAAAGACAGACACACCCCCCTCAGCTCCCTGCAATGAAGCATGAAGATTCTCTGAATGTATATTGAAGAGGCCCTATCCTTTTGTTGATATGACTGCGTTTTGCTTTTGTTACTCCTTTCTTGTGCCTGTGTTCAGAAAGGTGGTATGTAATTCTAGTGCTGGCAATCTAAGTTCTAGTATAAAACTGCACAGCACTGGTTATTCTGTGGCATTATTATAAAAATCTAGCTTCCTCTTGTTTGCAATTGATGAGTTTTTCCTTAGTCAGGAATCCTGTCTTATATGAGAATGTGAAAATTGAGGTAAGCACGGGGAATGCCAGAATTTTCTCTGTTCTTACTGCCTCCTTCAGGCATTCTTGCAGAGTTTTTCTTTGCAGTACACAAAGTTTACAAAGTACCACTCGTGTAGAATTCCAGTTCCTAAAGCAACCTGCAAAGGGGAACTTTGTGTGTACTGCTGATTCATCTATTACCAATGACAACTGGATTTGTTACCTTAGAACTCTGTCAAGAGATTGCACAAATTTAACAACACAAGTAAAAACCACAGAAGCAATAGATGCCATGATCTTAGTGAAATAATTATGCCTTGGAGGGGTTGCTACCAAGGCTTAGAAGAATCCCAGTCTCCACTTGGTGCTTCACAGCTGGAAAACTGATAAACACATGACTGCAGCATCTCATGTTTACACATTCTGCTGCGTGACAATGATGTGCAAAAGAGTATCTCCTGTCATTTTTGGTGCACTGTCAGGAGCATTTTGGGGTGGGTCAGGGCTCTGCTTTTGTCATCTAGTGCCCCAGTCACTGATGACTGTGGTATGGCTCCTACCTCAAGAGCAGACCTGGAGCATGTGAAACAGATTCCTTTCAGATGGAGCTACACCAGAGAGTGTTGCTGTGGAATGTGTCTGAAGTGCTTCCGCAGCTCATGAACATGCAGTCCTTGAGGTCAGAGAGAGCACATCTGAAGTAAAACGTCCCAGAAGTGTGTGTGTTGCGGTCATTGTGTTCTCAGCATCACTGTAATCTTGGATAAATCATTTGACAAGAATTGGTCACGGATGATTGTAATGTCTGCTGTCTTGTCCCATCAAATAAAGTGGCCTCCTCTAGTTAATCCAGGTATTTGTAGAATGTGGCAAGAATATTTCTTTTTAAGGAAAAACCAAAAAAGCCAGTGATTTGATGATGCAAAGGTAAAGGAATCAAATTTCATAATTGATCAGTCTCTTGTGAAATTCTGAAGTGGCAGAACATTTGACTCCTATATCATCGATGTGTCCAGGTTGAAAGTAGCTGAGCTTCTCAAAGTCAACTGCCTCCTCGTGAAAATGCCCTTGGCCTGTTGTCATGAAACCAGTGTAGGAGACTGGTTCCAACTCTAATGTAGACAGTTGTGTGTGGATAAACGGTATCCTCTCTAGTAAATTGGTTTGTGCTGATAACGAGTACCATACATCTAAAAATTGTGATTCTTCTCTGTTTTTTTGTTGTTTTTTTTTTATTGCTGCATCAAAGTGTTCAAGCTGTCTCAAAGGAACCAGTGATGACTGTGAGTCACTTGGATGGCCAAAAACGTGGAGATGTCTCTCCACATATGACACTGAGGACCAGTGAGTATCCCCATGATTCATAGCTGTTCCACTTTGTAGGTAGACTTCAAAATATGATGTTCCCTTAAGTCTCAAATGTGTAAATGATTCTAGAAAGATTTGTCAGTGCTAGTGTATTGTTAATCACTGTCTGTTTGTAAGGAACTATTTACTAGCCAGCATGTTTATACATGTCAGCTCTTAGAATGGAGTTAGCTTTCTCTGGAAGGAAAAGGGAAAAACTAAAAGCGGGAAACACCCCTCCCCAAACCACAGCTAGTGATGGGCTGCAATGGCTTTGTAAAGTTTTTGTGGAAGCGAGAAAGTTGGTTTCAAATTGTACTTGAGGACATTACAATACCAGTGATGTTTGTAGCTGCAGATCTAGCTCTGGACTATACAAGAGAACGTCGTAGCATCTAGGTGTTTGTACTAAGTGAGAGTGATACATTACTGAGTTTCTTAACCCTAGAGTCATGGTTATATGTCACTCTTTAATCCCTTCTTAATGTTCTACATGGCTATTTCTATGATAGAGCTTTGAAAGCAGATAAGCTCACTGCACAGTACCGCTATGGATAGCAAATTAGCTTTCTTTGTAGGTCATCTTTACTGAGCTGAAGTCATCTAACTACCAAAGGTGACCTGAGCTGTCTTCTACAGAGTGGGCTAGTTAAACTGCTTTGCTGACAAGCAATTTTCTTTTGTACCAGTGGTGTGTTACAGTACAATATGTTCATATGTATATGTTTAATATCATCCTAGTCCTTTTTTCCCCAGTTCATTACTGAAATAATTGTTCAGCAATACTTCTTTTTACAGATCTGTGACTTTACTATGCAATCATATGGGTTTTGAAATTGTTTCTGAGCAGGTGCTGGAATTTGGGGAAAGCTTGTTTGTCATGGTGAATGACAAGATATTCCTGAGCCTGGAGGAGCATCTGGTTTTGTACAAATCACTTGTTTAGTGAAGTGTGCGATCTAGGATTTAAAGCATTTACTAAATGCTCTGCTTCAGATCTCATACACTTGCACATGGTATTTAGAGTTCACACTGTTTGCCAGAATTCAAAGTTCCTAACCAAACAGTCGTAATTAAAAGTTCCTTTGTATTTATCTGTACATGAGATGGCAATTGAAAGTTGACTGCTTGTTTTCATGCGACTGCTTTCCTGTGCAGGTATCAATTGTGCAGATGTTTGCAGCCCACCCTGCTCACAGCAGAGGGATACAATCAGGTAAAGTCTCTTCTAATCATGGCTCTTGTTTCTTTTGGTGCTGGGTGCATGTCTCTTTTAGCCTCCAGTAGTGTCCAGAAGAGGACAAATCCTATTTACTATCTCAGTGCTGTGGAAGAGGAGCAGCTAGCTTGTGGCTCTGGAATTGCTTGCAAGCCAGTGGCCCCTCAAGTACGGCTCTCATGCGAGAGCTGTGCTGTGTGACAAGCAGGGTTGTGCTGGGATTGTGGTTTTTGGGTCCTTTTCTGTTTGAAAAGAGCCAGTGAGGGCAAGAGTGGCTGCTGTACCAAGTTGTCTGTCCTTGGATTTGCAGAATCCATTTTCACTCATGAGTGTCTTTCTGCCAAGCCATTAATGAGCTGACATTTCATTTATTTCACTTGAGAGCTAGGATCCTAAGCAGAAGGATACAAGAGTGTGTAAAGCCCCGTGGGACTGAGGTGGGTTTTGTGACTTGCAGGTTTTGAGTGTGGGGTGAAAAAGGAAGCCTACATTTGGGTTGTCTGTCTGTTGGAGAGACCAGTGTACTCATTGGTATTGGCATTCTGAGCTGGCAGGACTATAAGTTCCAACGGCTTGGTGATGTTGAGGGAAATGGGCTTTTGGGTGCAGGAAGTGTAGCTACAGGGAGAGATTCTGTGTGGCAGTCTGATGCACATGTCTTTCTGCAATGACCTACACTCACATGAAAGAGGAGAAAGCGTAGATGGGAGCAGAGAGAGATTGGGCTGTGGCAGTCCTGTTCGGTAGCGCTTTGTACACTAGTGCTGTGCAGCACTGTTCCTGGGCTTCAGTTGTCACCAGTTCCTGTAAGCTCAAGAGGAGAAAAAGAAGTGAAATCACTGACATGGTATGATGGGTTCAAATAAAAGGAACATTTCCTTGCCTCCTTTTGCAGAGTTAGCTATTCACTGAAGTCATTTGACAAGGATTGTGATACCTACTCTTACCATGTTGGACTGAAAGTCTTTCAAGCACGAGTATAGGATACCATAAAAATCTGTTGTAGGTCTCACTCCTGCAAAGGAGATCTTTAGTGTCAATACAGATTCTTGTTTATGAAGAAGGGGCATATATAGATAACTTTAATGTCTGTGTATTTGTTGCTCTGCAGATTCTATGTGGTTTTAACGGTAGTGCTCTCCAAATGGGAATAGTTGTGCTCTTGACTAGCCTATAAAAGGCAAGTCAACATCCTGGAGCTGTCCCATTTTTAATTCCATTTGTTGGTCTTAGTTTCCATAAGCTAACTGTATTTGGATGCAAGTATAGTTGCAGATGTTCATGTTATCTATTGCCATATAACACCAGGCATGCGGTATTGATCACCGGAAGATCACAAAGCACTTGACAGAAGATCACCTACTTGCTTGACTATTTTCCAAATGAGGAAACTGATAAAAAGAAACAAAAGGAATCTTGCAAATCTAGGTGGAAAACAATTTGCGAGGCTCCTGGCTCTTCATTCTGTCCCAGTCTTGCTGCTGCAAAAGAATGATGCTGGAAGCTGGGATGATATTGTCCCATGCAACTGAGGCTCTAGTCAAAATTGGCCTTGAAAAAGTCAATTTCTTATCCAGAAGGTGAATTCTTGAGGATTACATGAAACAATACTGACACACAGCTCACATCTCTCTCTTTCTCCTCTCCTTGCAGGCACAACACCCCAGCACAAAACTCTCCTGAAGAGGGAGGACCAGCAAAGCAAGCCATTGCAAGGGTAAGCTTGTGTTATTCTTTATTTTACTATTTAGGAAACTGCAGCTGTTTGTGATCAGAAATTTTTGGGCTCTTCACTTTACCCTGCTGACTCAACAATACATGTATTTGTCCCAGTTGTTTCTCCCAGGGAAAGCAAGAGCATGATTAGTTGAGTAGTACTATCACAAAGGCTTTCCCACTGCCATTAATTTTGTTTCTAGACACTATGTGTTTTTATTCTTCCTCTTTAATATGTTTGAGTATAGCTTCAAAGTCTTTAGTGCACAGACTTAATTGATCTGCAAAGCTGAACTGTGGTATCTTTAGGCTTCTCTAGTTTTGTGAAATAGGAAGTACAACTCTTTGACTTTCAGCTCTGGTCAGGACTTAGATCAACAATAAAATTTGTGTTATGGGAGTCAGAAATGCTAATCTCAATCTCAACTTGATACCTACATCAAGATAGGTGGAGAGTTTGCTGGAGTTCTTGACGCTAGATCACGCCAAACAAGCACTCTGCCTCTCATGCCTCCCTTTAGTTCCAAGTGCAGCGTTACATGGGGGCACAGTTGGAACAGTCATCAACAAAAAGTTACCTTTGGAGTTTGTGGATTGGATGTGTGTACAAAAACCCTTCCAGTTTTATTGCATGAGCAAGGTGTTCTGCACTATCCCGTAGCAAACAAGTCTGTGCTTGCTTGCTTAATGTCCTTTTACCCAACAGAGACCATATGGAGCTGAGACTTCAGAAGAGCCATTTTTCGAATTATACCTGTCACCTGTTTTCTCTGAAGAAGTATGTATAATTGACGAGGGAGAAGATAAGTTTGAAAGCTCAGGAAAAACAGAATGCTTTCCTCCACTCACAAAGGTATGCTAGCTGTTAGGCCAAACAGAATGCTGTGGAACAGCTGCAAGGAGTTCCATCTGTTATAGGTGGTTCTTGAGGCTTTTTGAAATCTTCAGAATTTTCATTTAACCTGTTTCTGAATGTCTATGGCTGTGACTTCACAGTGCAAAGGTCAGCAGTTAATCTCGTTGTAGGGATTTATGGTGCCACACACACTCTGTGAGTTGTGCCAACTGGAGGGTTTTTTGGGCTTCTGTGCCCAGGACAAAAATTAGTCCAAATTTAACAACAGTCTCCCAGAACAGTGCCAACCTGATTTATGCAGTTGCATTGGCTCTGCCTCTTAACCTGTCCTGCCATGGAGGTAGAACCTGAAAAATAAGCTTTTACTGATCCATGGTGTTGCATTGACTGGGGATGCCTGAGCACCTTGTGGATGTCAGCATCTCGGAGAGTCATGGATGGGCACAGTTGCACTGCATGTGACAGTGGTCACAGGAGTTACCTCAGTTGTGCTGTTCAACAGGCAGTTCGAGTTCAGGTTCCCCTACTTGTATGAATTTGGGCTGTTTTTGTTCTCCAGAGATGTGGTCATGCTGATCTAATTGAGCACCTCCTTTTCTGCCCACCGAAGACTGATTTGGAAAGGGCTAGCAAATCCAGAGTTGACAGTCTGTAGAGTGATGCCCAGTACAAGGAGAACCAGGTGTTTTTCGTACCTTGCTATCCCAGAGTCAGCCAAGGAGATGCTGTTGCAGATGATAGTCTTTTATACTAACAGGCCTAATGGTTTATTTGCTTTCCTGAAGCAGGCTTAGGTGGAAACATCCACGTTGTGACCAATTGCATGCACACCCTGGACTCCTGATTGCCTGACTCCAGTCTGGCTACTTCAGTTTTCCGCTTTCCTGCTACTTCAGTTCCCTTTGAAGTCCCCTAGATTCAGCTTCTTTCAGGCTCCTGACTTAGCTGCCTTGCTATGGAGAATGCCTTCTGTGGTTGGCTGAAACCTTGGTATTGTGAGGGCTGCATCGTCCCGTGGGAAAGGTGTTTGCTGTACTTCTGTTCATTTCCCAGCTGCATTAGAGTGTCCATGTTGTGTTGGTCCACGTGGTTTCTATCAGCTTCCTCTGTGAACACAAGCTGAAGGCAACCTGCACTCTAAAGGTCAAAGTTAGGATGCTGGAACAAACCAACCAACAAAAGAGTGCTATTACTAACTTCGCAAAATGCTGGCAAAGCCAGTTCCTCTGTCACTTGAGTTTGATTTACAGGTTTTGTTTCTGCTGAAAGCTCCCCGGAGGTTATCGTGCTCAGCCTTTTCCCACTCACAAATCCTTCTCCATTTAAATCTTCGTTTCAGGCCATGGAGAGAGAGATTGCTGCTGCACTTGGCACAGGACCCCACGATGAGATTCTCAGCAGTGCCTTCAAACTAGAGATCACACGGGATGACATTCGGACTCTAACAGACTTTTGCTGGCTAAATGATGAGGTAAAACTAGCTGCAGCACAATGATACTCTGATTCAGCATTGCTTCATTGCTTTAAAAACGCCCCTTCACTGTCTACACAAGTCCTTTCAAAGGCATTTGGTGACCTCTACTGCAGAGCCTAGAAATATCTGGACAGTTTTTATTTTAGGTACTTCAGGGTCTAGTGTTCCTGGAAGTTCCTTTACTTCTTGGTATTATGCAGTTTCCAGGAGTTAGTCTAGATTGTTGGAGTGGGTGACAGGTGTTTTTCTCAAGGTGCAGAAGCAACTGAATGCAAAATGCTCACAACAGCAACTGACACTGAAATTCTCTCAGCTGCATACTTCAGGGTGGTCAGCAAAGATGTGGTGCTGTTGATTTCTTTTGCTAAGCTGGTATCTTACTTTACATCTCAAGTTTACTTTTTGTGGTACAGGTCATTAATTTCTACATGAGTCTTCTGATGGAAAGAAGTAAGAAAGAAGGATATCCAGTGGTCCATGCGTTTAGTACTTTCTTTTACCCTAAACTAAAATCTGAGGGGCAGAAAGCCGTAACAAGGTGGACCAGAGGCGTGGATCTATTCAAGCAAGACCTCGTCTTAGTGCCCATTCACTTGGGAGTGCACTGGACACTAGTGGTGAGTCAGACTGACTTTTTATTAGAACAGAATAGGGAGGAAAATCTGACAGGAGAGGTCATTTAGGTTTTGGTGTCTGTGTGCAGGACAAGGTTGTCCTTTGTCTAACAGTTCACCTTTTAATAATAGGTCATAGACATCAGAAAGAAGACCATCACTTACTTTGATTCATTTGGACGAAACCGAGATGACATTTGTCAAACTTTATTGTAAGTAACTGCTCAGTCAGTGCTTTTATGTTTTGAATTATGAGGAGGTTTTGGGATTTTGTCTCTTTAATATGACTGCAAGTTTTGCATTTTGTATATGCGAAACAGAACACTTTTATTCACTTGCCATGAGTTGTGTGACATTGACTACTTATCGAGTCTCACATTGTTCCCTCCACCCAGGGGCTTGGATGCTTGGAGTCTACCTCCTTGCCACTAGATGCTCAGACAAAGCGTCATCATCAAATAGATGGTAGCCTAGTGACACACACGTACTGACTTTGTTAGTAATCAGTAAAACTGGGCAGTTGATGAGAGGGATGATTTTTAGCCGGTGTTTCGAAACACTTGGCTTACTGTGAAAGGATCTTAGTCTCACAAGAGCTTTGAAACCCCCTCTTCTTGAAGAACTTTCTGAATTCAACTCGGGAATATTGATGTCCTAGAGTATATACACCCCTACTGGTGATCAGCTATACGTATAATTTTACCCTTTCTGCTTAGCTCTTTTATCCTTTTCTTGTATTGAGACCTTTTCCCCTCATACTAGAATGTTCATCCTCTCTTCTGCAGGGAGCCATGTAACACACTCCTCAGTCCATCTGTACCTCTTCTAGTGTGTTCAGTGTTTTAAACAAAGCCCCTGTATATCCATCCAGCTTGCCTCAGCCTCATGTCCTTCCTGCCTGTGTGTTATTTGTGGTTTTGACCTTCCCATTCAAGACAGATGTCTTGTAGCAAGCTTTTCCAGAGGTATCAGCTGGCATGGCATACACCTCCAATGTAACGGGCGCAGATTTTCCTGTTGTGCAAGCCAGCCACGTTGAATGCTCTTGCTGCTGGTGCAGAAGTAGTAAAACCCCTTAATGCAACATGGCTTCACTAAGGCAAATCATTCCTGACAAATTTTGTGGCTTTGCATGATGGGGCTGCAGCGTCAGTGAATAAGGGAAGAGCAACTAATGTGATCTACCTGGACTTGTGCAAAGCATTTGACATGGTCCCACATGACGTCCTCGTGTCTAAATTGGAGATGTGGATTTCATGGATGGACCACTCAGTGGATAAGGAGCTGGCTGGACAGTCGCACTCAAAGAGTCAACAGTTCGATGTCCAGTTAGAAACCAGTGATGAGTGGTGTTCTTCAGAAGGTGGTATTGGAACTGGTGCTGTTTGACATCTTTGTTGGCAACGTGGACAGTGGATCAGGTGCACCCTTAGCAAGTTTGCTGATAACACCAAGCTGTGTGGTGCAGTAGACATGCTGCCATCCAGAGTGACCTGGACAGACTGGAGAGGTGGGCCCATGCAAGCCTCATGAAGTTCACCAAGGCCAAGTGGAAGGTCCTACACCCGGGGCAGGGCAATCTGAAGCACAAATACAGGCTGGGCAACGAGTGGCTTGAGAGCAGCCCTGCAGGGAAAGACTTGGGGGTATTGGTGGATGAAAAACTGACTATGAGCAAGCAGTGTGCACTCGCAGCCCAGAAAGCTGATAGCATCCTGAGCTACATCAAGAGAAGTGAGGTCAGCAGGTCAAGGGTGGTGATTTGCCCCTTCTGCTCTGCTCTGGTGAGGCCCCACCTGCAGTGCTGGGTTCAGCTCTGGGGCCACCAACATAAAAAGGACATTGACCTGTTGGAGTGGGTCCAGAGGAGAGCTGTGAAGATGATTGGGGACTGGAGCCTCTACCCTGTGAGGACAGGCTGAGAGAGTTGGGGCTGTTTAGTCTGAAGAAGAGAAGGCTTCAGGGAGACCTTATAGCAGCCTCCCAGTACTTTAAAGGGGGCTACAGGAAAGCTGGGGAGGGATTCTATATCAGAGAGTGTAGTGATAGGATAAGTTTCAAACTGAAAGAGGGTAGATTTAGATAAGATACTAGGAAGAGATAGTTTTCTGGAGGGTGGCAAAGCAGTGGAACAGGTTGTCCAGGGAAGCTGTGGCAGCCCACTCCGTGGCAGTGTTCAAGGCCAGGATGGATGGGACTTTAAGCAACTGAGTCTAGTGGGAGGTATCCCTGTCTGTGGCAGGGGGGTTGATGATCTTTAAGGTCCCTTCCAAATCAAACAATTAAAAATTCTATGATTATGGTTCCTTGCTTGTTTTCTTTCTGTTTCTCTTCTGATAATGTCTAATTGGGGTTTTTTTTGACCTCTACTATGCAGTAAGCTTGTGCTTTTGTGGAAGTCTCTGTTGGAATTGTTCGTCTTATTTCTGACCATTATTTCACAGCCTTTGACTGTGTTTGTAAATTTAGAGTCTGGATTTTTCTTCTCCCAAGTGTCTTAAATCACCTGCCTTGAGAACCTTTTACTATCCTGCCATCCATTGTGTGGTTCTTCAGCACCTTTTTTTTTTGCCTAAATCACAGAGCTGAAGAGTGATTTTGTTTTGTTTTAAATAGCAAATACCTGCAAGAAGAAAGCCAGGAAAAAAGAAATCTGGAGCTGAGTTCTTCAGAGTGGACTCTTCACAGCATGGAGTCACACGTATGTGAGCACTACTTGGATTTGAAATGTGAACTGTAACTATTTATCACAAAAGTCTTCACACTGTCTAACAAGTCTAAGCCTTTAGAGAAGGGCCATATAAGCATCTCATGTTCTCATGGTACCACCTCTAGCTTGCAGGTGGACCAGGATACCATGCTGGGATGAAATCTTTAAGCAGTGCGTCTCCTTGCTGGGTTGATAGTTTCTGTTCTTTTAATTAGTCTGCCACATGAGATGAATCTGCCTTTGCCCCATCTCGCAAGGCACATTCGAACACCTGTTTAGCTATCGTCAGGGAATGAAGGCTTCTTGTCTGGAGCAAAAATCATGGCATGTGACAAGGGTTAGGGTTGAGCTGATGTTTCTCAACAAGTTAATAGTAAAAAGTACTCTCTAAAGACTCAATTTAGGAAACATGACACTGTGCAAACCTCAAGACACCTTGCAGGGAGGAAGGCTGCTATCCCTTATCAGCCTACCAAGATTTGGATTGTAGCATCCAAGTAAAGGAAGCAGAGAAGGATGATGTGCAGTTAATTGGGCCTATTCCTTGTTTTTTGGGAGTGGTAAATGGGTTCTGCAAGTAGGTTCACAAGTGTCTAGGTAGTGTGTTGTTGCTATGGGTAATGTGTGCTACTTGCCAATTGCTTCTTTTTTATTGTAAGATAGAGGAAAATTCTCCATCTTCTTTGCATTTCTTAGGAAATCCCCCAACAACTGAATGGAAGTGACTGTGGCGTCTTTCTGTGCAAATATGCTGATTATGTCTCCAGGGACAAACCTTTAACCTTTACCCAGGTGAGTGAAGGTTATAAACAGCAGCAAGAGACAGGGAAGTTAGGCTCCAGCTGTACCTTGTTTCTGGGGCAGGAGTTGAGGTTTTGTCCCTCTCTCCAGTTTTGGTGCTGGGGTTGGAACTTGAAGGTGGCCTCTGCAGGGCAGAGCTGCGTTCTCCATCCTGGAGAGTCTGGTATCTGCTTCCTAGCTGCACCAGTGAGATTCCTCTTGCACAAGACACTGCAGCCAGTTGGTTTGTGCTATCTGGCCTTTGTATCTCACCCTTTGACCAGTTAAAACACTGGGTTTTTTCCACCAGCACAGTGGTCTTTTAATAAAAGTGTTTGTAAGCTGTTGTGTAGTCAAGTCAATCTGCTTTTGTTGGGTTGTCCTGTCAACCTCATATGAGCTGTGTGGGTGAAACCCATGTTGTCCCCAACTGGCACGTGCTGACAGTTCTTAACAGGAACTTCATATTAAAGAGTTAACTGGGTGTTTCTGTATAATTTCTGCCACTTTCTGCCATGACTTTGTATTTAATGGATTTTTTTTTTTTTCAGAGTCACATGCCTTACTTCCGCAAGAAGATGGTGTGGGAAATACTTCATCAGCAGCTGCTGTGAGACATGCACTATTGGAGTAACACTGTGATCACCTTGGGGTGACTAACTCTTAATTATTTTTCTAGTATGTTATTTGAAAAGGCAGCAGGCACATGAATTTTCATCGTTTGGCTATGAAGTTGTTTTAGTTTTTTTCCACCCCCCCTGTTTTGGAGACAGTAACTCTCTTTGAAATTAGCTAAAGCACCTGCAGTGCAAGCCAGAAAGATTGCTGTGACCTCGCCAAGGGAATGGTTAAGAACAAACCCTCTGTCACCGAGATGGATGCTCATCCCTCGCAGCACATGTGGCCACGTTTTGAACAAATGGACTCTCATCTGTGGTGGTGGTAACAACTGTGTTGGCTGGACTTAACCTTCCCATGGACAATGTGCTTAGCTACTGTTTCCTCAAGGAGAATTTTCTTCTGGTTCTGGAATATCTGCAATCTCGATTCCTAAAACTGGATTTGTGACAACCATAGAAAGAATGTATTTTCTGTATTTATTTGTTAACAAATCCATAGTGAAGCCCCTGAAGATGGGGTTGTTATTTTTGTTTTGGGGTTTTTTTTTCTGTCTCCGGGGTGATATCTAATGTGAAAAGAGAAGTATTTATTTCTTTTTATTGAAATTAATATGTAAGTTATATAAAAAGCCTGTCTGGAATGAAACTCTACCTGTATTGTAAGAGTGATGATTTTTTTTTTTTAAATTAAAATACTTTTGAGGTATCACTGTGTTTTTTCACTCACTTACAATCTACGAGGAAGAAGACTGTAACGAAGATGAATATCAGAGCAAAAAAGCCTCCCTGGGTTTGACACTGAATTCTGAAGGGGCAGTCAGGATGTCTTCCAGCAGCGAGATGAGCACACACAGTCCCAGTAGTGCCCAAGCAGATTTCTCTTTGGGGTAACTTACTGGACGCCTCAGTAAGACACACAGATGCTGCGTGCACAGCTTGGTGACCAGGGGCTGTCTGGTCCTGGAACCTGTCGAGCTGCGGTGGGTGTCCCCATGCAGTGTTGCAGTGTGCTGCGGCCTTGCACGTGTCCTGGCAATTCAGTGGTGTTGCTGGATCAGTGTCACTGCCCTACTCTGCCACGGGTACTGCCTCCACCATCTGCCAAAGGATGAGCTTGTGTGAATTCTCAGTCTGTTACGGTCAGATTGAAGTAGATCTGTTTAAACATGGTGTTTAAATAATATAGGTGGTTTGTGGGGTTTTTAGTGGTTTTCTTGTGAGGTTTGTTTATTTTTGTTTTGGATTTTTTTTTCCCTTTATGTTATACTGCAGAACTGGAGGAAGATTTCAGGTCTTTCATTTGCCATTGCATCACGGGATTGGATGCAACGTGTTGGACTGCTTGTCTAAACAGCCATGACAGATTGTTTCTGTAATGGCATTTTTACCCTAAAGTGAAGGTGGTTCCTGGTTGGTGACAAGGTGTCTCCTCTCCTTGGCTCTGGGAGGACCATGGTGATTTTGGGGACATACTCTCTGTCATTGTTGGGCACAGTCAGCCTTCACGGGGGCTGCTTTTTACCTGAAGATCTGCTCTCCTGGGAAAGCTGATAAGGTGGTTTATCTGTGTTGCAGGTCAGCAGCTGCATCAATCTTTGCTTTCAAACTAATTAGCTTAATCCAGGCGATTTTCCAAAGAGAGAACTATTACAAAGATAATCTGTTGTACTTCCTTGCATGAGATACTTAATTGTACCTGGATCCTTGAGGCCTTCAAAGATTTCAGCTGCTAGTTAACCCAGCAGCTGAATGCTTTTAAGTATCCTTTCCTGCAGTCTGCTAGTGACAATAGCAGAATTTTTCCCTTGGCGGAGAGGAGAAACACCAACACAACCACACCTACAGAGGGGCTGGGGGTGCAAGGATGCTTTCCAGGTTCTCCTTGTGCATGGCCCTTAAGCAGCAGGGGCTTGGATATTTGATGGATGACCAGGATGCTGCTGCTGCAAACAGCTTACAGGGACGTGCAGCCAGCTGGGGCCTTCACTGCACAAACCCAACCGCCATTAGGCAACCCCTGCACTGATGGCTGCCCATCACAGCGAAGTGCCCGGGTGTTTGTGGCTGCTGAAAGCCTTGCCCGAGATGGTGGGGAAATTGTACGAGTCATTATCCTCTTTGTCTGCAAGGTCATGTTGTGGGCTCTGGCCCTTCAGCTGTGGTTTGGTTTTTTGGGCCCTATGTGCTTTGAGAACACCCGATGGAGATAAACAGCCTCTTGACTCCTGTGCCTTGGGTGGGCAGTTGTGTGCAGGATCTGGGCCTCCCTTCTCATTAGTAAACAGCCTTTTGGTTGTGATGAGCCTACACTTCCCTGTGCTGACAGGAAAACCGACGTACAGTGTGAGTATTGCTGCATTCCCCCAGCTGCTGCCCTGAGCAGCGGGATGCTTGTCATCCACCTTTGCGCATCTGTGATGTGCTCTGCCCTGTGATGCGGTCCTTCCTCACAGGAAGGATGTGGTGGGGCTCAGACACTGAGTCTGGGTCACACCGAGCCTTACGCTGCTGCTGAGCAGAGCTCTGCCCCAGGGCCATGCCAGTCCTGTCAGCTGTGTGCGTGCCCCACCACCTGGGGCTGGATGGGGGGAGCAAACATGAAAACTGATGCCCTTATTGCAAATGGTTGTGCTGTAGGTGGGGAAAGGCCTTGACAAGTGTTGTGGCTTGTTGCTATAGGGACCGTGGCAGGGTTCCCTTATCATGGCATCCATGAGCAACCCCCACGTGATGCCACAGCAGTGTCACAGCATGGCTTTGGCTTTGCTAACTAACTGGTGAGACATGGATCATGGTTTAGTGTGGGGAGAGACAGCTTCGTGAAGGCAACACCTCCCCCGCTGACCCGGTAAAGCTGTATCTGGCACTGCCTGCCAACACCCATTTCTCCCCCTTGCCCCCCCAAGAAAGAAATACCATCAACCCACCTCCATCCACCCCTGCTGCCCAGCAGCAGGGCTCCAGCTGCCCAGAGGCAGGGAAATGGGGGAGCCATGGGGGAACCCCCCCCCTCCCACGGGGCTTGGCCATGACCAATGAAAGGCACTCAAAAGAAAGCACTGGACAGCAAGCTCAGGCTCTTGTTAGCTGGATATATTTCTCTTTTCATCTTTTTCTGTTGCTTGTTGGGTTGTTTTTTCACAGAACACTGTAGTAGAGGAAAACATGGCCTTGCAGCCCGTGGGCTGGGTGCTGGCACCAGCACCTCACCCTGGCACACTCAGCCGGCGGCGCGACACCCTGCTCCTGGCCCTCCTCTTGCCCACTGGCTGTCACTGCTTTCACTCATTGTTTTGTTTTGGTTTCTTTCTGCTGTGTTTTTGTGGGTGGGTGGGTTATTTCCCTTTTTATTTTCTTTTTAAACATTTCTCAAGCTTTCTCTGAAGGAATGGCCACTGGCTCTCAGCTAGCAGGAGGAGATCTCTGGGAAATGTGGGGTGGTTTCCTTCTTCCTCACAGCTGACTTGGTCGAGATCATTTTCCAACTCATTTTTTATTAAAAAAATAAAAAAATGCTCCAACTATCAGTTTTACAAGGCATACAAAATCTCTAAAAGGGAAACACAAGCGCGAGGTGTTGAGGTATGAAAACCTGAGGTAGTTTGTGTGTGTGTGTGTGTATGCATGTGTCATGTGGGGTTGGTTTCTTTTAAAAGAAAATTTGCTAGTTGTTTTTTCAGCCCTGGGCTGACAACCTCTTGTAAATCTGATGGGTTTTTCTCCCCCATTTTCCCCTCTTCTCCCTGCAACAGGGAACTTTCCCCAAAGATCCCTGCCTAAAGTGGGCAGTGCTGGTGCTGCCCATCAGTTTCTGGGGATGTTATTGCTGAGCATGGCTGTGCTGGGCAGCGATGTGGGGAGAGAGCAAGAGGGGGGACAGACGGATGGATGGAAAGGGGGAACAGAACGGATGCAAACCCCAGTTTTGGACTCTGTGAAGCAAAGAGGAAGGGTGTGTGAAACAGAGATTCCTCTTTTAGAAGACGGTATCCCTTCTGTTGGCTCATACAGGCACTGCTCTTCTCAAAAGCCCTTAAGAAATCACCTTTTAGCATTCAATTTATTCTTCTCCCCGTTGGCAATCCTACATCTCTGCTCTACTGTGCATTAGAGAACCAATGGACTAGCTCCTTTCCTTAAAACTAGAAAAGCCTGCTTTTGCTAAAAATTAACATTCTCCTGCCCCCGCCCCTTTGAAATTAAAAAAGTGTTTTAAAAAAATAATCTTACAAAACTTAAAAATCGGCATTAGTTTCATTATTGATATATTAATTCTAAAATTGATAAGCTCCACGCTGTGCGCCGCAGCCCCCCACACCAGGCGAGCTCCTCTGGCCACGCCTGAATGAAATGGGTGGCTTTTAGGAAATGAAAAATAAAAATTATCTCTCTCTCTCTGCCTATGTTAGTCCAACTAAAGGGATAGCGTCAGGAGGCAATGGAGTAAAAGGGAAGCTGTGGGATGGAGAGAGCCCTCTCCGTACCCCTCCGCTGCACATCCTCGCAGCGTCCTGGCTGTGGGAGGGGGGCTTGGGGGGGGTCTTTGGTTTGCTCCCCTGACCTGCTGGGGGGTCCGTCGGCGACAGTGGGGTTACATTCATCGGGAGGTGCTGGCTGGCACGGTGGGAGCCTCACTTGCTGTGCTGCGAGGCCGGGGCTCCCTGAGCGTGTTTCTGCTCCTGCTGTTTCACCTGCTGTACGATTTCCCTGATCTTGCGCTGTGCAGTCTTGCGAGGGGGGAGGAGCAAAACTGCGAGTCAGGATGGGCACCACAAGCAGCCTGAGGTGTCATCCCCCCCTGCTCTAACAGCATCTCCCTCTCATTGCCCTCAAGCTTTTAATTTAATAAGCACATGGTCCAGCACAGCTGTAAGTAAGGATGTGCTAAATTAGGAGCTGCTCTCTGGCACAGCTGCAAGCTGAGCACTGCAGGGTTTCAACTTGTGCTCTTCTATCACTCCACAAGAACCTAAGTTTTTGGGTGCTGCCGTCCTGCTCGAGCAGGCAGGAGACAAGGTTGTGGTACGTGCACCCAGGTGGGATGCAGATGCCTGTGGGAACGCCCTGCCAGCATCAATGCCTGGGAGGAGCGGATTCACACCCTGGGTGCCACTAGGCACGGTGTCCCAGACGCATAATACAGCTTAATCAATCTAATCTCTAGTTCTAGTGCTAGCACTGCTGGGGAGAGCTGCCAAAACACCTTTAGTGAATGAGAACCATCCAAAATAGAGCAGCAGGATGCCCAGGCAGCACTGTGCTGATGGCTTTCCTTGATGGGTTAAACTGGCTGTGAGTATTGGAAAAGCCACGGCCAAACCTTACCTGACTAGCAAAGAAATGCCCAATGATTTTAACGATGACCTCCTCGTTCTCGTCTGGGGTTTGGTCTCGTGGTACAATGACTTCTGCACTAGTTAAATTTTGCAGTTCGTTCACCTGGAGGAAACAATAGAGCCCCGAGTGGGTTTTGTTGTTGAAGAGCCAAAACGCCTCCACTGCCAGCGTCACCCCTAGGTCTGACCTGTCACACAGCACCAGGCTGCCACAGGTCATAGCCTGTCCCCTTCACTGTTGAGCCACGTAGCAGACACAGGACTGAGGGCAAGATGTCGCTGCCACCACCAAGCCCCCAGGCTTTGCCTGCCAGCACAGGCACGGGGCAATGGCAACGCCCAGCTCCACAGCCCTGGGGCATCCCTGCACGTCTCACCTACCGTCTTGCCACCTTTGCCTATCACGCGGCCGGCAGTGAAGGAAGGCACCTTGATGTGGGCTTCAAGCTTCACTTCTTCTTTTGGGTTAAAGAAGTTTTCCTCTTTCAGCTTCCCAAATATTCGCCCCTGGGCCTGAAGAAGAGACATAAGAGAAGCCTGCTGCGCTCTCCATCCTGGAGGGCAATGATGTGTCCAGCAGCACCAGAATTCCAGCACCAAGAAAAGAACACCCCCAGCACTCAGAGGGAGATGAACCCAGGGTGCCAGCACAGCAGCAACCAAATGGATGCTTTTGTTTTGTCCCTCAGCATCCTCCCAACCACAGCCCCCACTGCATGGCCAACGCACCTTGAACTGAGCCTCGGGTGGCCCTGTGATGATGACCATCCGCTCACTGGCATCAGGACCTTCTGCCGGGGCAATCTGTGGAGGGATGGAGGGGAAGGAGCGTGACTGTGGCCCTGCTTCAGCAAGACCTCCCCTTTGCGGAACGTTCTCCCATGCAGAGACGTCCCCTGCTACCCAAGCAGCGGTGGTAACTGGGGTGTTGCAGGACTGGGTTTCTACTAATCTGTGGAGCAAAACCACTATCCAACTGCTCTCCTTTGCTGCCCTCGGCAGTAGGAAGGGAAAACTGAGGCTCAAAGCCCAGGACTGGCTCCACAGCGCTCGCTTACCTTGATGGAGGCGCCGGCAAAACGTGCCAGCTGTTTGATGTGCTGCCCCTTCTTCCCAATGATGGCCCCCACCGCCTGTGTTGGGATGAACAAATTCACAACCTCCTGCTCTGGCAGCTGATGAAGGCATGGAAGAGATGATCAGGGGACCAGCTGGACTGCCAGCATCCCAGGGCAGTGACTGCCCACTTGGGCCACATGCCCACCCTCCCAAGGTGGCCGAGTGAAGATCTCATGGAGGGAGGTGCTGGGACACTTACAGGGTGCTGATGGGGGAAGGCACCAGCTGGCGGGGGCCCATACAGACCGGAGAGGTATGCTGAGGAGTTCTATGGCAGGAGAGAAAATGAGGGTCAGTAACACCCCCAATGTGCCAGCCCCCTCCTGGCCAGGCCCAGCCCAACACGGAGCAGCGTGCCACCACTGTGAGCCTAGCAGGGACACGAGGACAACCCTGCAGGCCCTGAAATCCCTGCCGGAGAGCATGGGTGCACGTGAGGGTGAACTGAGGTGACCTGCAGTCCAGATCCTGCACCTGCAGCATAGCACAACGGGGTTGGGGAGTGGATGGGAGCTCCCAGTTACAGCCAAGTCCCTCCCCACTGCTGTTTTTTCAGATTTGTCCTGTTAGTGTTTATAGCAGAAAACCAGCCCCTATGGCCTTTTCAAGCAGCCGCAACCTGGGAAAGTGGAAACCATGCTGTAATCACCATCGAGCCCCTGCGAAGAAGATGGGAATTTGGTGAGAACTGAGCAAAACTTGATTTGGCTCTGATTTCCATCACCAGTTCCCTTCTCCAGTTCTGAAAGAACTAAAAACAAAGGCTGAAGATGTTCTCCCAAGACCTGGGCTAAGGGCGGGGAGAAAGCAGTGAGTCTCTCCAGAGCCAAAAGCAAGGGATGCATGCCAGTGCCCCAGCCCAGCTCACCCTAACCCAACTAAACTCCTCTTCCAACTCTTTTGTGCCTCAGATACATCAGACATTTCTCCTGGCAGCAGACACAATGCTCTCTCACTCTGGATTTGAGGAAGTGCAACCAGATGGTACCTGCAAACCACAGTTATTCAGGCAGAGGGCTCAGCTTCCCTGCCCACAGCAGATGCTGCTCTCGCTCCCACCCCTCTATTTAAACCCACTGTGCTCCTTGCACTGAGCTCATGCTTCCAGTGTCCACCCTCTGCTTCTGGCTATGGGCTGCTCCATGTCTCCTACACAATGTCCTCTCCTGCCCAACTGGTTCTTGTAGGCAAGGTGGGTACTGCACCTCCCCAGCTCCCCCCCTATTCACCATGAGGCTCGCTCCTTATCCTCCACCCTTGCCTGGTCTCAGACCTTCAAAGTTGAAGCGACAGCCACTGGCCCCAGGCTCTGCTGAGGACATGGTCAGAAATAACCACTCTTGAGGTGCAAAACATGAAGTACTTGCAGGGAAGGAGCTGCCAGAGAGTCAAGCTGGTTTCCTATTAGCTTTTTTTGTTCCTTGTTTTACTACAAAAAATTATGCTCCTCTTGACCTCAGTAGAGTGGCTTGGAAAAGGCCACACAAAGCTTTGGGGTGAAGAAGCCCACACCAAACACTGCCCTCCAGTAGACCTGCCCAGCTCCTCTCTGTCACACCAACAAATGCTCCAGCAGATGTTGCCCAAAGGCTGCCCTTGCTCAGACAGCCAATGTAGGCAGAACATCCTCCTCTCTGCAGGCTGGCAGTGCCCAGACAGGCAGATGGACTCTCCTAGTGCCCTCCAGGGCCGCCAGACACACCACACTCATCCACCTCTCCACACCACCAGCCTGGCACTCACCGTTCTCCTCCGACCACTCTGCTGCTGGCGTCGCCAGGGAAAGAAAACAGCACAAGTAAATTAACCTGCACACTCGTTGCCATGCAGAAGTATTTAGAGAGACTAACAGAGAGAGACCACAGGGCTTGGTCATCCTGAGGGTGGTTCTGCAGGTGCCAGCAGTTTGGGGACAGACCTTCTTCATCTGCACTTTGGCCAGCCTGTTTTTCCGACACCGGACCATCCCTGCCTGAGTGCAACCTCAGTGGTTTTGAAACTACTTCCCAGGCTTGCTTTGCCCCACATCTCAGCAGCTGCAGCACCTTAAGAAAGAGAAAAATCCTTGCCTACAAAACCATGTGAAGATCTACTTCCAGCAAGCATGACTCTTCAGTTGCCAGGGCCAAAAAGACCAGACCTGCAGGGCCCAACTAAGTCCACATGATCACAATCCAGTGGTGGGTTTGGGGTCAAGACTGAAGACCACCTACATGTTTTTTCCATGATGGTATCAGAATACATTGCCCCCAGCCACCTTTATAAAGCAGCACCCTTGGGACAGAGTCAATCCTTAAACACAGCTGAAACTGAGCTCACTAAAACAAAGGGATGCAGCTGATCTTCCCAGGAAACGAAATCCATGGAGGGACATGCCACATTCATTCACTGTCTTCTCCACTTCACTGCTGCAATGAGCACCTTCCCCAAATGGGCGGGAGTCAGAGCTGTTGTTCAAGGCTCCCCATGAGATGGCTTCTCTAGCTACGGTTTCCACCCAAGCCTGAGAGCTACGGTAGGAGAGTCTAGAGACCACTTTGCCCCCAAGAATACATTCCCCACACCCCAAAACTTCTTGCACTTACAGCAAACGGGTGGTATGGGGCAGCCGCTGCAGCCCCTCGGGCCCCTGGGGTTGATGGGAGCATGGACAGCCCCGTGGAGAAGATGCCCAGAGCACTGAGGTTCAGTCCTGGGATCAGGTTGGCTTGTTGCTGGGGAAGCAAAGACATGGAGAAACACATAAAAGATGGAGTTTCTGGGGTGCTCACCACATAGTGTGGACATGATGGGTGAGGGCAAACCCTTGCCATAACAGATCAACTTCCCCCCAGTTTTCTTCTGGCCACCTCAGCAGTGGCTCTGAAGCAGGGGCATCCCAGGCGGGAGGGCTGGGAGCTTACATTGACGGCCACCACATCGTTCTCGTAGGCCTCTCGCAACTTCTTCATGATCTCCACTTCAGCATTGGAGCATGCCTCCGTGCTGCCCTTCACCGTGATGGTCCGCTCGGGATTATAAATGGTTAAATCCTGCAAACTACCCCAGAGATAAATCCGGAGACGCGGTTACATTTTTTTTTCCAAGTCCAAAAAAATTAAAAAGAAATCTTAAATCAAAGATGAGGGTTCCCCCCTGAGACAGTGTGGGACCGGACACTCTCTCTCTGCCCAACGCCACCATCCACCTGGGATGAGGAACACCCACCCAGGATGGGGAATCTGCATGGGAGGACACAACTGCTGTTTTCTGGCTCCAGTGCTGCCCACACTGTGTTGGATGGAGGGGGATGGCTTGGTGTTCACCAGGACTTACGGTGAGATGGTGATCTTCGTGCCTGTGTCCTGCTCGATCTTCTTGAGGTTGCGGCCCTCCTTGCCAATCAACCTCCCCACCAGACTGTTGTGCGCTAGGATTTTCAAGGGAATCTCTTCTGCTCTAAAATGGATTAAAAAATAAAATCTAAAGTCCACCTGCCCATTCCAGCAATGGGCACTAACAGCGTGGTAGAAGCAGTAGAAGAATCACCACCATTTGCTAGGTCCTGCGCTTGGTCCGCAACAACCCGCTGCAACACTACAGGCTTGGGGAGGAGCAGCTGGCAAGCTGCCTGGCAGAAAAGGACCTGGGGGAGCTGGCCAACAGACGGCTGAACATGAGCCAGCAGTGTGCTCGGGAGGCCAAGAAGGCCAGGAGTATCCTGGCCTGTATTAGGAATAGTGTTGTCAGCAGGAGCAGGGAGGTGAGTGATCCCTGTACTCGGCACTGGTGAGGCTGCATCTCAAGTACTGTGTTCAGTTCTGGGCCTTTCATTACAGGAAAGACATCCATGTGCTGGAGAGTGTCTAAAGAAGGGCAATGAAGGTGGTGAAGAGTCTAGAGAACATGTCTTATGAAGAGCAGCTGAGGAAACTGAGGTGGTTTAGCCTGGAGAAAAGGAGGCTCAGGGAGACCTTACTGCTCTTTACAATTACCTGAAAGGAGGTTGTAGCGAGGTGGGGGTCAGTCTCTTCTCCCAAGTAACAAGCAATAGGGCAAGAAGAAATGGGCTTGAGTTGAACTAGGGGAGGTTTACACTGGATATTAGGACAGATTTCTTCACCAGAAGGGCTGTTAAGCATTACAACAGGCTGCCCAGGGAAATGGTGGAGTCACCATCCCTGAAGGTTTAAAAGACATGCAGATGTGATGCTTAGGGACATGGTTTAATGGTGGACCCAGCATTGCTAGGTTAATGGTTGGAGTTCATTTTAAAGGTCTTTTCCAACCTGAACAATACTACGATTTCCCAAGGGACTTCCCAGCCCAATGGCACATCTACATTTCATGTGGTTTTGTTCTCCAAGTTTGCTTGCATGCTCTTTGGACCCACCTAAACTTCTGGTCTCTACAGCACTGCCAACCACACCATGGAGAAACTATTAAGTTGTAAATCTTTAACCGACTCATAACTCTGTCTTGAAACTCCGAATGCCAGCAGTTCTCTCAGGGGGTGGGAGGTGACAGAAGATGGCTTCTTCTCCACTGATGGCTGAATTTACCTCCTTGCACCAAACCTGCCCATTTTGCTGAGCCAGGGGCACTTACGATTTAGTTTCATCAGCCTCCTTCTGCATGATATCAAGGATCATACGACACGCTTCGGAGCACCCCTCTGGCGTGGCATGGATGGTGACAGGCTTTTCAGCAGCACCAGCATTCTCCTTCCGATGGATGTCAACCCTATGGCAAAACAACCAGCAGAAAGGAGCCCCTTGAGATGCATCTGGTGTCACACAAAGGCTTTTAAGATCTCAGGAGCTGAGCTTGCTGTTCCCAGAAAAACTCATTTCAATACCTGCTCAAGCTCTGGGGTAAACCTGGGTCTTGCTGACCTACATCTACCATCATGCAAGGTAAGGTAATGTTTGCTTAGATCAAGGTACATTCACCTCTATGACCTAAGGTCTGCCCGGGAGCTGAGGGATGTCAATCAATCTCAAATGATGCATTAAGAGGGAGCAGAACAAATTCTTTACTGGACAAAGCCCTGAGCAACCTGGTCTGTCATCTTTGACACCAGTCTCGCTTGGAGCAGGAGACGGGACTAAAGGTCTCTAGAGGTCCCTTCCAATCTCAGCCTCTCTCTGGACAACATCCGAGCCTGTCCAGTGACCAGAAGCTGCCATAACCACTGCGTGTCGTTCAGGACAGAGAGACAACTTACCCGTAGGCAGCGTTTGTCACAACACGGAAGCACACGTCAACAACAGCGCTTGTACTCACGCCCTTCCACGGGAGACCAGAAAGCTCTCCCTTGTGCATCGGCAGGGACCGTGCTCTAGCTCCTCTGGTCCTCCCCTCAGCTCATGGCGGGGAGGAGGCATGTGCCTCCAGCTCGCTCCTCACTGCTCAACTGTACCTGGCAAAGGCCCTGAGAGAGAGGGAGAGAGGAAAGCAGGGTAGGAGACTCCCACATGTCAACCACACGTCTTGAAGAACAGGAGTAAGCAACATCTTCTCCATGAGTCCACGTGCTCTTCCCACTGGAGGATGATGCTGTGCAACCATCCTGCCATCGGCCACCAACTCAGCGTCCCGGTTGCTGCCGCAGCCAGGGCTGGGCTGGCCCAGATCTTCTGAGAAGATGCAGTAGTGGCCACTCAGCCACTCAGTGAATGCCACCATTGCTCAGCTCCAACATGGTGCCCTCTTGCCACATCTCTGTTTTCGTAAGAGGTCCCCATCCTGACTGGGATCATTCACGGGTGCTGCTGTGCATGCAACGCCAAGGGTTGTGGTGCAAAGTCACCCCTAAACAGTGCCATATTTGGATGTTGCAGGATCGTAGTGGGTTTGCACAGGTCAACTCTTCCAGGAGCTCATGAACCAGCACATAGAAACAACGATGCTTCATCTACAGGTAGAGGGGGAGCAGCTCGATGAACCTTCCCTAAAATAAGAGCCTACCCCACTAGGTTCAAAAGGGACCCCAGGGTGGTTTCACCCGAGTACTGAAGAGGGAATGACGAGAGTTTGGTACTCTTAGAAGGCTACATATCTCCAGATCTCCTATGGCTTCAGCCAGAGGTGCTCAGGCAGGAAGCCAGTCCTGCTTGGACTGTGCAGAGGTGGTGGAGACACCGACACTGCCGAGCCTTCCTGCCCTTTGATCATGTCTACAGCACACAGGGACCCAGCTGCATGCTATGTGACACCCTCTACAGTGCTGCCAGCTGTGGAGCTCCATCAAGTTGACTTGGAGGATCTGTTCCTTCAGAGGCAGTGCCCAGCAGGCACCCACTCACACTCCATCGGCTGGGGAGAAGGCAAACACATCACAACGTGCCACAAGAGGCGATGACAGGCTCATGCTCCAGGGCACTGCCGCAATGCCACACCAGGTTGACGCTCCCAGGCAGGAGGAACCAATGAGGAATCCATGGCTGGCCCAACAAAACCCACAGACAGGATTCAGGCAGCTTCTTGAATCCATGAACAGTTGAGGCTGGTGGAGATGGGGCAAGTCTTTGTGAGATGGTTAAGTCTTTGTACCAAAGAAGGGCCAAGAGCAACAGATGGGCTGAATGGATGCACCGAAGTGATGAGTACCCTGGACAAGCCCAGGAGAGGAACACAGGCCAGGCTTCTGGCTGACCTCCAACCCAACCCAAACCTGGATATGCAGGCATGAGCTCAGTTTGCAGAGAGATGATGGGCACCTGGACAGGGTTGCTGCATTCAGGCATGTCCCACCCTGAAGAGCTGGAGAGTGGAGGAGAGCTCTGGACTTCCAAACGCATCCCAGTGCTGCTGCTGCACAGCTCCATTCCAATGGGAGGATGGAGAAGGGGGCCCTCAACCCCATCAGCAGCTACCTGGGACCCCAGAGTGCTGCAGGCAGGGGAAATCAGAACAGCTGACAACAGGGATAATGGGACAGAGTAGATTTGTCCACGGTGCAACAGGAAAAAGCTCCATGACACCTTACAGGGGCACTGGGAATGCTTGAGAGAGCAATGGCCATGAGGGACAGCCCTCTCAAGGCGGACAGGATTGTGTGCACGTAGGGCTATCCTGGCTGCTTGGTAACAATTGTCCCCTCCTCATCAAGTTACAAGGGCTGCAATCGCTGTGGAAGGTCATCTGGTGGGGTGGGCTCTTGTTCTGGGCTCCTCCTCAGCCAAGGATGAAGATAGCTCACCCTGGGACAGTTTTGACCCCTGAAGCTCAGGAGCATCTCTAGGTATCACAGTGCATGGAGACAGGGGCGAAGTCCTACGTGACCAGAGGAATCCAGGACTCAGTGTCACTCTGGGTAAGAGCAGTGGTCAGGCAACAGTATGTTGCCAGCATCCTCATCCCCAGGATCATCACATCGGTGGGTGAGGGTGGCTGGAGCAGTGACAGAGACACAGGCTGACACCCCAAACTGACCGCAATGGTCTTGTGTGACTGCCTGGGCCAGGTGCATGGGTCCCCTTTGCCCAAGGCTGGAGCAGAAGTGGTGGCCCACCATGGCACAAGGTCTCCTGGGGCAGGTCAGAAGTGGTGACAGCATTGGAGCACAGCCTTCCTCCAGGGCCGCAGGTCTTCAGAGATGGCATGGGGAGCAAACTCACAAGGGACAGCTCAGTGGCAGGAACTGCCCCAGGCAGCAGTGTTTGGCCTCGTGGTCAGTAGAAACCAGTAACCAGTGCTTCCCACCTTCCTTGCCAGGCACAGGGCTTGCAAAGGGCAACTTTCCAGTCTTGGGTTGCAAGGACACAGCTACCACCACTGTTCATCACACCAGGGGACTCACCTGGAGAAGAAGGGCTCGCAGCTAACTGGGATCAGCTCATGGCTACTAAGCGGCCGTGCTCTAGGACTAGCCAGACTAGAAGAGCTCCTCTCCCTACGCATCTGTCCCCCTTCCGTACAAACCTCTTCCTGCAAACCCAATGCCTGGGTTCAAACTGCTCCACTGCAGCGCAGTGTGTCTTCCTACCTCCTGCTCAAGCAGATGTGCTATTACCAAAGAGTCTGCCTCTAAAAGCTTCTCTGAGAACTAGGACGCCCTGGAGGATGTCCTGGTACAGGAGTCCTACATCTTGTGAGATCACTGGGTTCAGGATGATGAGCATGGGAGAAGACAGCTTTGGGTTAAACACAAACAAATCCAGGCAGAACAAATCATGCAGGAAAACCATGCAGAAAATGAGAAGCGAAATCAGGGTGAACATTGACAAGAGAAACATGGAAAACTGGCAGGAAAGTCTCCCCCCTCCCCCTCCCCAACATTTTTCCTTCAAAAACAAAACCAAAAAAGTTGAAAAAAAAAGGTCTTCAAACTTAAGAAAAGCTCCCACGGTGCCCTCTTTCCTTCTACAACAGCTTTAGCACATATGGCACGCTGTGGGATGAGCAAATCCCAAAGGCAAAGACCACACAGGCACCAACTGCTGTACCTAGGATCCCCTTTCAGCATTTTTATCCCCGAATTTGCCATTCCTCCCTAAAGCCTCATCCCCAGCTGTTCTTGTGATTAGGCTTTAGGAACCCATTCCTGGCCTTTTTGAACATGCATCCCCCTCTTGCCACACCCAGACCACCCTGTCCAGCAGCAATGTTTTAGGACATGGGCTCTGCCACCATCCCATGAAGGATGCACCCCAAGAAGAAAAGCACTGGCTGGCACTCAGAAGCCCCAAATGCATGAAGGACCCATGCTGGGGCCCTACCACACCCCACGGAAGGAAACAAAACCATCTGAGGTACTTACTTGGACTGGGTTTGCTTAGTAAGGTTCTTTATGGTCAAGCCCTCCTTTCCTATGATCGCACCAACAAACTGCGTGGGCACCAGCATCCGCAGTGGGAAATCGAGCTGTTTGGGCTGTGAAGAGCCCCCTGGGGAGGAGCCCCGCTCCCTGGAAGAGTGGCCCCCGCGGCGGGATCGCTGAGGGGGCTGAGGGGAGCTCACCTCTTCATCCGGGATGTAGGAAATCTTGAAGGAATAGTTCTCAAACTCGTGGTCATTCAGCTTCTCAATTGCTCTGCAAGGCAGGGAGATGCAGAGGGTGGTGAGGGGCTCTCCTGGGATGGGTATGCCCTCCAGCACACCCTGTGCTTGCCCTTATAGACCATGGTCCCTCCCCAGTCTGGGAAGTGTGGCATGGAGAAGCCAGAGCCCCTCACTTTTCCTGTGTTGAGCAAGCCCCATAGCATGGCGGGGCAATGTCCCCTCCCATGTGGCTGATTCAGGGCTGGCACAAGGCTTGTCCCCCCAGCAGAGGCGGGATGCCAGCCTGGCCATCTGTCACTTCACCTAGGGAAAGCGCTGGTCAGAAGCTACCACACAGCATGGAAACAGTCTGATGTGCTTTTTGGACACAGAAAAGTTGATAGAGGGGGTTAAGCAAGAGCCATCACTCCAAGCAGAAGGATGTGGCACATGGTGCCCCTCTATCAAGAACGTCAACTCCCGTTCTACCTTGATGAGGCTGGGGGTGCAGCACATGGACTCTTCTTCCCCGCAAGCCCCTCCCTGGCAGCGGAGCCATGCCAGAGTCTGCAATGATTTCTGTGTGTGGTGTTGGCTTCAGCCACATCTTGCTTTGCCTATTTATAGGCAGGCATATGAATGCATCACTGCAAGCAGCAACTTGCCAGGCCTGAACTGCACATCCAGTGAGGACTTCTGTAGCTTTGCCATCCCTTTCTAAAGTCAGTACAGTGCCCCGCAGCCTAACTTCTCTGCTGAGGTCTTCCTTTCACCTGCTCCTATCACAAAATACCAACACACATACCCAACAACCACCTTGGCCTCTCCTCCCATCACTCACTTCTGCACTGAGCTGCTGAGCACCATCTAAGACAGGCGTCAGTCCATCCTGATGCGACTGATCACATCGTCTCTAGCCCTGAAGCCTCTTACTCCAAAGCATCAAGCACCACTGTGTTGGTGAGACTCTGTCTGCCCTTCTTGCCACACATCCCAAGACACAGAGCTCATGCCGTGTTTATCTGTGGTCCACAGCACCTTCCTCTGGCCAGCCAAGGCTGGAGTATGTCCAACCTCAACAAGCACAAGGAAGACTTTCCTCTGGCCTGCTGGATCAGCATATCATTCTCCTCATCTATGTCCTCAAAAGTCCAACCTCTTGATGGGTCAACTCAGACAGGAAGTTGCTAGAATATCCATCAGCAAATGGACTCTGGCAAAGTGTCTTCCTTGCATGGGGTGTGACCAGCTCTTGGTAGTATCAAAAATATCCTGGCCACTAAGTGCATGATCTGCTCACCACTTACTCGTAGTCAACTTAGGGCTGGTCTCTAGCACCGAGCTAAAATCTCTACAAGCCAGTAACAAAGCATTTTGCTTGAAATAGTCCTTGCATTTCAGAAATAACCCCTAATCTGTTGGGTTTTTCTCCTCTGCTGGCTATGACAAATCTTTAAGCATGTCTTCACACAGTCGTACTGCACTGATGCACAGTCTCGTCAGGTTCTTCTGTCCTTTTAAATTTTTTCTTGATGGGTGGCCTTTCTTCACAACTCCTCTGCACAACACGCAGGCGATTTACCCTTTGACGCTCTATCCCCTGCAAAAACCAGCCATGAACCCTCTGGCTCCCTCTCATCTCCTCTAACCAGTTACTCATCCACTCAAAAGCCCTCTCTTGTCCATGGCAGCAGGACACTGTTACAGTCGACCAGTCGGTTTCTGTTGACTCCAGGAAGTAGGAGGTGACAGTCTCTGTGTATTTTGGTGTCCAGCTTGAATTTTCCCCAAATCATACTATCACAGAATGGCCTACGCTGGAAGGGACCTTAGAGATCATTTAATCCAGCCTCCCCGTCGCCAGGAACACCACCTCTCGACTAGATCAGGCAACACACGGGGACCAAACGGGAATCGAACCCGTCACCTTAGCGTTGTTAGCGCCACGCTCAAGTGACTGAGCTAACTGGCCTGGCAGAGGATACTTATATCTCCCATCATAGTACCATTTCTTCAGCATCTCTCCCACTTCATTCACCATATTCCACCTCTTCAGCAGCTCAGGCTGGGTGACTAATCCCACGTATTCCCCGTTTAGGGAAGTTTAGACTTCCAATCTGGGAAGGCAACTCCTTGACAAACTCTTATCTGACCCCTTGTCTTGCTCCCTCAAGACAAGGCCACTGTGATCCTACAGAGGACTTGGCACGAAGGACAGCGTCCAAAGGGAACTGGAAGATTGCACATCTGGGAGCCATGTTCTTGAGGACGGGGGGAGAAGGCACAGATGAAAAGGGAACGATCACAGGGCTGATGGCCACAAGCTGGTCCAGTGGTGCCTGTGCATCACAAGAAAGCCCATCTCCTATACAAGTGGAGAAGGCAGAAGACTGCCCAGCAGTGGGATCAAGAGAAGACTGCTGGCAGAAGACATGCAAGACCACACAGTTCACAGTAAAACCAGCATCTGCCCACTGCATTGTGAGAAGATACCCAGACAGCCCTTAACCCACTTGAAACTTTCAGTAGAAGAGCTTAGCAACAACTAAAAGAGGCTTAGAGAGAAAAGAGAAAAAAGGGAAAAGAGAGAAAAAAGATGAAAGAGGAAGGAGAAGAGAGGAGAGGAGAGGAGAGGAGAGGAGAGGAGAGGAGAGGAGAGGAGAGAAGAGAAGAGAAGAGAAGAGAAGAGAAGAGAAGAGAAGAGAAGAGAAGAGAAGAGAAGAGAAGAGAAGAGAAGAGAAGAGAAGAGAAGAGAAGAGAAGAGAAGAGAAAAGCCTGGAAGATACTTGGGTTTCATCAGGAAAAGTGCAGGTGGTGTGAAAATAGGGACAAAATGAAACAAAACCCACTTACACTTTTGCTTCTTCTTTAGTTGCATACGTTACGTTGACAACAGCTGTTTCTGTATCTGTGTTGACTGGAGGAAAAGCAAGAGAAGCAGTGTTAGAGCAGGGGAGGAGAGAGATGTCGCCACCACTCCCTCTGACCACCACGCAGGGTGTGTGCTGGTGAGCCACTGTGCTTTCCCCACTGCAGGGATTAGACTGGGCTGGTAAAGGACCGGAAGGTGCCAAGGCTGGATCCTGCCACCCTCACCAAGGAGGATGCACAGCCAGACATCATCGATCCACCAGTGGACCTCAAACAACACTTGGCTCGTGTTTGCTTGCAGGGACAAATGGGTTTTTAATTTGCCAGCAACCAGGAGAAACCCTGGGAAAGGACCGGTGGCTCATGCCATAGCACCACCAGGCAGGCGGCCCCACCTCTGCCAGTAGGGCTTGTGTCCACAGGAAAAAACATTTCAGCCTGGTACAAACGACTAGAAAACCCAGGTTTCACCTCACTGCGTTTTCTCTGGCATGAGCAGAGCTTGGGAGCAGCGATGGGACTTCTGCACAGACGAGGACCATGCTGGACCATCTTACCTTGCTCTACGTTCTCCACAGTCCCATACTGAGCTAACAGGCCATCCAGCACCTGGAGGAGAGAGCAGCAAACAAGGCAGGTGAGGCGGGCAGGAGAGGCTGGTGGGCAAGGAGCAAGCAGGAGAGGATCCTGCTTCACTCACAAACACCCCCAAAGAGCCATCATCACCCAACTGCTTCAATTCCTTCACCCACCTGCATCCCATTACCCCAGTGATGCCCTACTGCTCAAAGCTGCCCCACAGGTCCAGGACTCACAAGCAGGCAGGAGATGGAGCCCAGTTCATGCTCCACCTCCCTTCTGGGGTTACTGGGAACGTAAAGGGTGGACCATGTGCAGATCACATGCTCCAGCAGCACAATTCATGCTGCTCAGCACAAGTGATGGAGGAGATGAACAGGATGCTCTTAGGATCATCCCCTTCTTACCTCCCACTGCAGGTGCGGAGGGATGTTTCGGATCTGGATCTTTCTGCTCCTGCAAATTCAAAGTCCTGGGTTAGGGTCTGCAGGCGTGCCACAGCAGGAGGGAAAAGGCTTCCAGGGAACTGGACAGCAACTGGTGAGAGCTTGCCAAAGCATCCCACTTTGCCCTGCTGAGCTGGAGCAGCTCATCCCCAGGAAAAAGCCATCTCTCCCAGTCTTGCCCCAGTCACCAGCCACCAGGGCTGAAGCTGTCTCAGAAATGCTCTGTCCTCGCTCCGTCCTCATGCTGGCTGCCAGGTTTCCAAGGAAACCTCCTGAAACAAGCCTCTGCAGAGTCAGGTCACACAGACATGGCTAGGATGCATGCACAACTCCTGACCGCACTGCCTCGAGCTGGCTGGCTGGGTGGAGACAGGATCTGAGACCCACCACGGCCGACCCTGCCATCCCTTGAGGGGGGCTCTGCGAAAGTGCATCCTGCTGATGTCTACCCCTTCCAAGTGACACGAGGCTGCTTTCTGTGGGCAAACCTAAACACGTACGCTCCGAGGCCTGCCCTTGCAGTAGCCAACACACCCAACCTTGCCTGGCTGCTCTCCCAACCTCACACGATCGTACTCAGAACTTCACTGCGGCTGCACTCCCAGTCTCACCGTGGTGCAGCCTTGGGGCACCGATGCAAAGGAAGCGTTGCAAAGGCTTCCCAAGAGGTAACCCAACACCTCCTCAGCCTGGCTGCAAGAAGACATGCTTGGGCAGTGGAGAGTTTTGATAGAATCACAGAATCATAGAACAGTTTTGGTTGGAAGAGACCTTTGAGATCAAGGTCAACCTTTGTCCTAGCCTTGTCAACACCACTAAACTACGTCCCTCAGCACAACATCTACCCGTTTCTTAAACACCTCCAGGGATGGTGACTCAACCACCTCCTCGGGCAGGTTGTTCCATTGGCTGACAACCCTTTAAGTACTAGTATTCAACCTGAACCTCCCTTGGCACAACTTAAGGCCATTTCCCCTGGTCCTATCACTCACCACTAGGGTTCTCCCCGCCTCGCTACAACCTCCTTCCAGGTAGTTGTAGAGACACATACCCAGGACCCAGCCAAGCCATGAACTCGTCCACTCTCTGCCCGGATCAGCATCCATAATCCTGCTTGTAGTCAATCAGCTCTGACTAAAGCAGTGTCAGTGTTCTCACCCAACTCAGCTCTAACGCTCTGATCAGAGCAGAGCCAGACCACCTCTCCCAATATCTGGGATGAATCTTCTGACTGAGCCACCTCACACACAGAGCCAAGTTTGGAGAGCCAATCAGCAGCTGGAAGCTGGTTTACGAAGCACTGTCCTTCCTTGTGATGAGCTCAAGGAGGATGCTTGGAAGGACTGGTAACACCAGCCTGAGCACTACTTTGGGACAGGCAACCAGCCACCAGCAGCCCCAGCTGACAGCCAGCAATGCCCAGGGGTTATGGGCCAAATCCTGCAGGATGAGCCCTGCAGGAGGAGGCAGGAGGAGCTCTGCTCACCTGCAAACCATCAACGAATACTCAACACTCTGATTCCACCAGTGGTCTTCAACAACTGGAGAACGACACCTTCAAGCTTTGGCCCAAGCAGTGAGGCGGGTCCCTGCACTCGCTGCACAGACACAACCCAAGCCCTTGCAAACAATTCTGGCAGATAAAGAGTTTCTTAGGTAATTTGGGGCCAGCCGCTGGGGACAGGGAGGAAACATGGGGCACAGCAAGAACCAAGGGGAAGTCTGACTTTCAAGAAGACCCAAAGCAGTCAGTGCTGGGGAGAGCTCTGCACCACAGCACTCACGGCTGGTGTGCTCCAGACACGATCCTTCTGCCTCTACAGTGGCAGCACACTCTGCTTGCTCTCAGCTTAACAGCACAGGACAACCACACCCTTGTGATGGACAACCATCTGCCTTGTGAAACACGAGTTCAGGGCATACCATGAGCAACACGAATGTAAGGACGCTGGTGAATGTGTGGAGCAGTCTGGGGTTTCTGCCCCCTCCACAGCAGACAAAATGCAGGCTCCAAATAAGAAAGGGATGGCGGGAAAAGGATGTTCCTTGAGATGTGGGCTGCGAGGGCAAGACAAAATCCACACCTCGTCTCACAAGAAGGACCATGGTCAAGCAAAACACCTGAAACCACCAAGGAGCCTCAAATCTCATGGTGCCGCTCAAAAAAAAGTATGGTCAGCGGTGTGATCAGCAATGGACAACAAACCTTACGCTCACATCCAACCACAGAGGTGCGCTCAATAAAACCTTGCGTGGGTTTAACAGATGGCTTCCCCAGACCAGCCCCTGCTGGATCCTCCTCCAGGGATCCCATGTATGGCAGCCCTCGCTGAACAGTCATCTCCCCATCACAGCCAAGAATCCTGCCTGGTTCGTGACCTACTCCTCAGTGCCCCGTGTCTCTGCAGGGATGGCTCTGTCCATGGATAGAAATTGGGTCATTGCAAAGAAGTGGGGAAGCCAGAGCTGGAGAAAATGTCGGTCTCCTGCAGCCTTACCAAACCTCTCTCCTCCAGCAGCCCTAATCTTCTCCTGCCCCCAGCAACCACCAAGGATTTCAAGGGTGATCATGCAGCTGTAAGATCCTTGTGAGTGATGCAAAGAGCAAGACTCATCCTAGCCCATCCAACACCATCCTATCCCCAAGCCATTCCCACCCCACGCCAGGAAGGAAGCAGTCAGGAGGACCTGGCCCAGGGCAATGATGATCCTGCACTACTCACCAGCAGCCTAAATCCTTCTCCTGCCTGTCCTGGTCACACACTCGTGGCTGCCACCGCATCGCCACTCTCAGTACAAATAACTCTGCAGGGCCCACTCCAGAAAACAGGACACATTTCATTTTTAAAGCCCATCAACATTTCCCAGAAGGGCTATTTTAGGACGCTCAGGTCCAGTCCTGGGAGGTGCTCAGCTCCCAGGGGAACCACTCCAAGGCATGAGTCCAACTTCCGAGCCGACCGCTGGCAAGGTTGGTTTGATTGAGCAAATCCCAGCCTGAGCGTCAGTGAGTCTCAAACCATCAGCACCTGGAAGTTTTCCAGGGAAAAGCTCTTCTCAGCTCCAAAAGCTCAGGACTGGCCTCTCTCCACCAGCAGAGAAGGCCAGAAACGCGGCCCATTTACTTCTACCACCTTCCAGCCCCCAAACAGAACAGGTGCCATCTTCATCTGCCTTATCCCAACATGCCACCGCTCGGCTGTGAGCCAAAGCATCACCGTAACCATCCTCCTCCCTGAGCCTGGGAACCATCTGCACCCACAGGATGCCACAGGCTGGACCACAGAGAAGCTGCTCTCCTGGTGTTCATTTGGCTTGGCTCACCCCATCACCAAAGCCCAGCAGCCCCAGGGACATGAGGCACTTTGAAGCAGCTCACGCAAGCGAAACCAGCCCACTGGCCAGACACGGTCCCCTCACCACAGTGTTAGCAGCAACTGTAGAAAAGCCTCTGCCTTGAATTGCACCAGAGCCATCGTCTCCCAACACCTCTGCCAAGGGAGATGCTGCTAGGGCACCTCTGGTCCCTCAAGATGCCGCCTCACCCCTCTGTGCCACCTGCCCACCTCCCGGAGCACCCGAAGTGAAGGACTAGAGTAAGGTGTCACATAACCCCACTTCTCAGACACTACAGCTTATTCCCACTTCCAACGTCCATCTGAGCTTACGCAGAGCATCTGACGGTACTCAAATGGTGCTCAAGGCTTCAGCCCCACCACCTGGCAGTTCTCCCAGCCATTCATTATCACCACTCATCATTTCAAATAACATTATTACTCCTACTGGGTGTGTTTTTTATAGCTCTTGTAATTGTATTTTTTATTGTGTATTTCTTACACCTCTGGAAGCAGTGCCAGACCACGTGTGGTCATCACACATGGAGTGACAGATGTATATGCAAGGCCATGATGGATGGATGTGCTATTCCCAGGGCTGGGGCACGGACCACATGCAGTCCTCATGGGACAGAGCAGATGTCCAGGCCATCCTCCTCCAGGACCACTCCTGGTAGGACTTTGGAGCAGAAAACATTCTTATTTTCATTCTCCTTGCTCCTCTCGAAACCTGGGAGACAGGGGACTGATTTCAGTGCATGCACACAACCCCCAGCACAGGACCTTGTGATGGAGAGGTAGCAGCCATGTTTCACCAAACCTGTTTTGCAGCAGGCTGTCAGGAATTTAAAAAAAAAAAAATTATAATAAACAGTAACGACAGGCACACAGTTTGTGGAAAAATACTTAATTGTGTGATGCAATTAGCCCTGTCGTAGCGAGCTGCCCTCAGATACCTACGATTGCTGCATCTTTCTGTATCACTCTCCTGCTCTTTCCCACCTGCACGTGCCCACCAGCCACCTTGGTGCCCCGTCCAGGACAAAACACGTGGTGGCAACCAAGCATCAGCTTCAAGTGCTAAAGAAACCAGATAAACATAGGTTCACCTTCTTTTTTTCCCCTTATAAATTCAAACAAAATCAGTCCTGTTTGTTAGCAGCTACTCCTTGAGGAAATATCTCCTCCATCCCAGAGCTGGGTTTTGAGTTCCAGGTGCTGGCCAGCATCACACCCAGGATGAAGGAGCCAGCTCTCTGAGCAAGTGAGGCTGTAACTGGGTTCAGGAAATAATCCACAAGAGCTCTGCTATATTTCATGCATCGCCCATCCCACCCCTGCCCATCAGGCTGCAGTGTCATGGTCCACCCACTCTCCCCACGGTCCCTTGGCCTCCTGCTCCAGAGAGGCTTCACTTCCCACAAGCATTTGGGAACGAGAAACTCAATTTCATTGAAGTGTCTTAAATATAAGCCTTGCAATGGTATATAAGAGATGGGTTTGCCACTCATTGCACTAAAAAATGAAAAATTTTTTCTAGTCAAGCTTTGTAATATCATACAATAATAAAGCCACTTTCTACCTCAGATCGGTAAAGAGGGCACAAAAAACACTCTCTGGTGCTCCAGCTTTTGATAAAAATCAGTTTTCAAGGGAAACAGGGGAAAAAACAGAGGGGAAACCTGCTGGAAACCAACTGTCTCCCCAGCGGCCCTGCCTGTTTTATGAAATATTTGTCCCAGGCAAGAAAACACCTAAAATAAACGACACTCATCATCAGGTAGGGACCAAACTCAGTTCCAAACGAATTTTTCAGACTCAGCAGCTCAGAGCCTGAGACAAGCGTGCTCTCCTAACTGGGCAGAGAAGAAAGCCACTGTTGCATTTGTGTTTTGATCATTATATATATTTTTTTCAATATAATCAGGGTCATCCTTGACAAGTTTTGCTTTGCCCAAGTCAACGCAGCAACAGATCTTAACGTGCAACCGCTCTGTCAGTGCCGGGCTGGAAAAGCATTAAAGAGCTGCCCCAGTTTCAACCAGTTGCCAAGAGCATCGTGGATGCGTCTGCTCCAGTTCCCCTCCCAGCCCGGGGGCTTTGCCTTGACACTCTTAAGGAATTAAAATCCGTTCACGTTAAAGCCCTGTCCTCTTCTGCAGGACGAACAACCTGTAGAGGGATGGAGCGGGGAGGGGGGGACAGTGAGGACAGCACGTGATTGATACATCCCCATGAGCTGGGGATGTATTAACAATAGGGATGAATGGGAAATAACGTCCCATCTGTCACAGCTTTTCAAGATTATGGGGAGAGAGCGGAGGAAAGAAGTGGAGGAAAAAAAAAAGCCACCCAGGCATGCCCATTCAGCATTGGGATGAAGGGGAAAACCAAGCCCTGTGCAGAAGCGGGGCTGGGTGGGCAGGGGCATATTCTGAGCCCACCCGCCCCCCACCACTCCCGGGGGAGGGCTGGCAGACAGCAAGCACAACGGGGCAGAAGGGCAAGTTAAAACCACTGAAGGAACGATAAGCTGACAAAAGTAATAGGTGACTAACAGCCTCGGTCACCCCCCGGCGTCCTCCACATCCCACCCTCCCGGTGG